AACCATTGGGCTCGAGATCTGATTTTTACCCCTTCACTTATATAACCGTAAAGATTTTTCAATTCCCTTCTTTTCTTTTCCAAATCGTTAATCAAAGAATTGTCATTCACCTTCGCTGGTATTTGTAATTCTTCCTCTAACTTTGAAATTTCTTTTTCCAAACCAACAATCTTATCCTTTCTTTCTTTGGCTTTTTTCTTACAGTATTTTCTTGTAAAACTTCGTATCTCCATTTTAACATAATCCCATAATATTCTATTATCTATTATCTCTTTGGATAGATTGAGTTTCAACCGTGTTATTTCTTCTTTCATACTTTTCACATAATCTGCATCGTTACATAAACTGTTATTAAATTTCCAATATCCTGCTTTTATTACAGGATTAGTAGAAGAATGTAGTTTAATAATCAGTTCTACTGCTGAGTGGTCCGGTGAAATTGAAGTTAATATTTTGCAGCTAAATACCATATCTTCTATGCTCTCCGAAATAACCCAGTAGTCCAATCTACTATGCATTTTAGGATTCTGTTGGTGATATGTAAATTGTTTCTTTAAATTATTTTTGACACGCCATATGTCTGTGGCATTATAGTCAATTAAAAACTTTTCAAATTCATAGCTAAGCTTAGACTGTTTTTTATTAACATTATGTCCACTGTAATCTAAATGTACATCTCTAACCATATTAAAATCCCCTCCAATAATGAGAGGTTTATTTTTGAATTCATCTTTTTCCAAAATATTTCTAACTTTGCCCAGAAACTCCAATTGTTCCAACTCTTTGCTCCCAACAGGGAAGTAAACATTTCCGAATATTACCTCCTTATTCTGCAGAAAACCAACTGCAAAAATGTATCTGCCATTTTCATCGATAACTGTGTGTCGTATCTTAATATTTACTCCACTATCAAATAGTATCATAACCCCTTTACCATGATTAGTACCGTGGCTGTATATACATTCGCCTTCCCACATCGAATTCCAAGTATTAACTATATCTTGTGTGCTAAAGGTTTCCTGTAAAAAAATAATATTCCCACCTTTTTCTTTGCACCATTTGAAAATGCTTCTTCTTTTATTTTTCTCCCGAATACCTTTTACATTTAAGGATATCAAATTGCAGACGGAAATTTTAGTGTTACTCATCATGTGCGTGTTGAGTATATAATATAGGTGGATGAGAGATGGAAAGGTTGTTGCCCACATTCAAGCCATATAAAACTAACCAGATCAAAGGCTGCCACAAACTGTCCCCATTGAAAAAAAAAGAAGAATACATTAAACATTTACGTAACATATAACACACACAATAAAACCTATGTATGATTGATCGATATTGGCAATATCGATATTACCAATTAGGTAATACCAATATGTATGTCGATATTACCAATTAGGTATATTCTAGTCTCAATTGTATTAACTTCATCACATTGATCATTTGAAGTGTATTCAAGTGTAACATTTAAAGTGACACAGGCTCGTACACATATATATACTAAATATGTATATTGTTTCTTGGTTAGTAATCATAGTTTCTTGGTTAGTAATCAATATATCTATTGCTTAAACGTGAATGTAATTGTAACATGATCAGACAAAATAATCTATTGGTTAATAATGGCAAAAGGAAAATAGAAATCACAAAAATGATGTGCATTGTCTTAATTTGCTTAACAAATCATGATAAATGTATTTTTCTGTCACACGTGTAAAGTAATAATGAATATGCATGAGATGATTGGTTTCAATTGGCCCTATTAGACTTTAATGGGATTTCCTGTGGCAGACCTGCCGCAGACTGTTCCTGTGGCGTACTGGTATGCGGCAAGTCTGGAGCAAAGTTTCGCCCTGCCGCAGATCTGCCGCAGACTGTTCCTGTGGCATACTAGTATGCGGCAAGTCTGGAGCAAAGTTTCGCCCTGCCGCAGATCTGCCGCAGACTGTTCCTGTGGCATACTAGTATGCGGCAAGTCTGCAGCAAAATTTCATCCTGACGCAGATCTGCCGCAGACTGTTCCTGTGGCATACTAGTATGCGGCAAGTCTGGAGCAAAGTTTCATCCTGCCGCAGATCTGCCGCAGACTGTTCCTGTGGCATACTAGTATGCGGCAAGTCTGCAGCAAAATTTCATCCTGCCGCAGATCTGCCGCAGACTGTTCCTGTGGCATACTGGTATGCGGCAAGTCTGCAGCAAAATTTCTTTCTGCCGCATACTTCGGCATACTCTTTGCCGCAGACTAAAAGTCTGCGGCAGGTCTACGGCAGATCTGCGGCAGGTCTGCGGCAGGTCCGCGGCAGGTCTGCGGCATACTTTTCACTTTCCTATGGGTTGCTATTCACCCGAATCTTCTTTGTAAAAACAACTTTTACAAATCTCAGCCATGCTTACTGAGTTGAGACGTTCCATTCAATTTAAAATACCCATTACATAATACACTTCTCCTAATCTCAAAGTGATCTTACAGCACAGTGGCAGAATTGCATGGCTGAGATTTATAAAAGTCGTTTTTACAAAGAAGATTCTGGTGAAAAGCATTGCTTATTCAAAAAAAAATCCTTGCATCAATTTGAATCGCAATGATTATTTGTCGCATGGTCCTTTTATTAAATAACCTTGTTTTCTGTTTTGTTTGCAGAGGGAGAAGAAGCTATGTCACGTTAAGAAATCATAAAGATCAGTTTTATTATGCGTATATACATATGATACCAGAACAAATGTTGATTGTCATTTTGGAATACCTCTATACAAATACCACATTGTCTTTAGCCCGTATCAGTATAAGTATGATCCAATATAAAGCTATTATTCTTTATTTAATTCAGTATAATGCTTTTCCTCAAAAATAGTTTTGCTATTTTTTTAGGGTTGAGGCGCTAAGAAATGGTTTTAAATGTACATTACACGAACCCTGAACCATTGCAAAATGATGGTGGTTCTCTCTCTCTCTCTCTCTCTTTATTTTAATCATGCATTATCAACTACATATAAAGCAGCAACCAAAAACTTAGGGTTATCTGAGATAGGTGAAAGTAAGAGTTAAAAAGAAAGTCATGCTAAAACGGCGCTTCAATTCCCCCGCCCCCTGAAAAAAATAAAATAGATTAGTAGTCCTCATTTCCAGCATCCCCCTCCCTCCCCCCCCCCCCCCCCGCTTTAATATCACATTTTCACTTGGCAGCCCAAGGGGGCCGGGGGTGGGAGGAGGGGGTTAAACCCCCTAACCCCCCCCCCCCCCCCGTAGATCTGCCCATGTTACCATATCATTCCACGACATTTTGGTCTTCCTCTTCTCCTCAAAAGGGACTTTTAGATTTGCGTGGACGTGGACATGGACGTGTTACGTCTTTTTAAGCACTGGCAGTGCCTTAAAAGGAGGTCACACGTTGCAGTCAACGTTCTCATCGTGCAAATCCTTGCGCGATCGCCTCCAGCTCCAGCAGACATGGTGCGGCAGCGTGCACACGCACCGCTACTAACGGCGCAGTAGGCCTATAACCACTGCTGACGGCGGCACTGCACTGCGAGCTGATTCGGTAATAATAGGCCTACTCATGAAACGAGAAATCTTGCACGCTAATCTTAGTTCCATTTCATTGGTTTAAGGTTTGAAAATTGAAACTCAATATGGTGTTAAAGTTATAACAGAAAGATAATCTTTATTTTATAATTCCACCGGCGCGATTTTTTTATTTTGCAATCGCCCCCGTGAGCAACCGGACGGGGGCGATTATGTAGCTCACGGGGGCGAATCGCCCACCGCCCCTGTGTATTTTGAGCGCTGCTAGATGCCCACTGACCATGCTATATGCAAATGGTCAACTACAAGACAAATAATGGTTTGGTGCTATAATTAGTGAATTAAACTAACTGATTACGATGGAGACTATGCAGGGGAACCACTCCTAAAGCAATTTGAGAACATAAGGGGACAAAAAAATGGGAAAACTTTTTTGTAAACATTCAAAATTTGCTATTTTTTAGTCAATTTTGACCTTGACCTTGACTTAATGCAAAAGCCCTGAGTACTGGCGATCTCAAAATTATTACCAAAATGAATTGGCATCCCCAGGTTAGTTGAAAATGACACCTTAAACGTTTTTCTGGACTATTTGGTTCATGAGTTAATCGTGTTTGTACAATTATTAGACCATGCGGCGGACTGGCGGCCATTTTTTATTTGACCTCTCAGGGTCATCAGAGGTCAAATCAAACTGTGAAATAAACTCACTGAAAGGGATTAAGGTGCGTAAATTCCTAAAGAAATTTGAGAACATAGGAGAGAACAAATGACAAATAAATGGAAAAACTTTTTGTAACCATTCAAAACTTGCTATTTTTTAGTCAATTTTGACCATGACCTTGACCTAAATGTAAAACTCTAAGTTCAAGCGATCTCAAAAGTATTACCAAATGAATTGGCATCCCCAAGTTAGTTGGAAATGACACCTTAAACGTTTTTCTGGACTATTTGGTTCAATAGTTAAGTGTGTTTGTACATTAGACCATGAGGAATAGCGGCCATTTTGGATTTGACCTCTCAGGGTCATCCGAGGTCAAATCTGACTTCCCTCCACATCTGAAAATAAATCTTATGGTCTAAACCAACATAATCCACTTATTAATGTCACCATCAACGTAGTATAGATACGTTGACTACTATGAGAGGCATATATGTTAGCTGTTTCTATAGGCTCAAGGAGATGTTGCATCCCGCCATGACCACGAGGCGCGCTCTCGGGGTCATGGCAGGATGCAACGTCCCCGAGAGCCAGTATAAAAACAGCTATGTCTCGAATATTAAAGCTGTCCAAATATCTTTTACATACCGAATTCACACAAAAATATCTACAAAGACTTCTTACCTTATCCTTTTCTTTAGTCAGTCAGAAGTGAATGCCTGCAGTTGTGACTAATCAGAGGCCTAGAATCTTTACATGCGGTATACATAAATTAATTAAATATTGCTCTACCACTTACAAGCGTTTTCATCTTACCCAGTACGGTCATGTATATTCCAAACAGAACACAAGATCTTGTATAACTGCTGAACATGAGGGCTCCGAAGCCGCTCGTCATCCCAACAAGTGAAATCACACGTGGACTTCCTCGGCCGTGAGCCAGCAGATGGGCTATGATAGGACCTTATAAGATGAAAAGAAAGTTTAAAGCAGGGAGGTGTGAATTTAAAGATACTACAGTGTATGTCCCTTTTGCAGCCAACATCAAATTCTGTAGAATTCGGCAGGAATTATGAATATTGCATGTATGTCTTATCTGTGAAATGTAAAGCAGTATCCTAATATTCAAATTATGCAAGGAATCTCGTTTACTTGCTAGACTTCACTGCCAGACGCTATTGAGTGACTGGCTGGCTTCTTTCTTCTTTGGTAATAACATACATAACATGAGCTGTGAAGGGTATAGCATTTGTCTACATCAATGACCCACTTTTTTTATTAATGTAATGCTTCCTGGGAAAAATTCCAATAGTTTGAAAATAATTGTGGCTTACACCCAGTAAATAAGATCGATTGATCGATCTGTAATTGAAAAACAAGTCAGAAAAAATCTTGGAACCAGCGGGATTTGAATCTGCCATCTACTGCTTGTCGGGCAGCGACTCTACCACCAGGCCATCACTGGTCCATGATGAACTAGAAACAATGGGTATTTGTTTTTCGATTCCAGATCGATCAATCGATCTTATTTACTGGGTGTAAGCCACAACTATGTTAAAACTAATAACCCAGTTCTTGTAATGGCCAAAATTAAACTGATTGAATCTTTGCGCAGTATAAAACGTACAACCATTCGGTACAATGGTCTGAGAATCAGACTATTACTTATTGGCTCTATAGCTCTTAAGTCGATTCGACAACTGATAGTCGTTATTTTCCCACTTAAAGACATTTTCAAGCCCCTTTTCCTTTAAGGAAGTTCTATAAATTAATATTATCTTTCAAATGCCATTGGAATTTAACCTTTTCATTTTTTGGGGCCTGCAAATGGGACATAGTACCTTTAAACTCACACCTTCCTGTTTAAAGTGAGGAACCAACAGTTGACCAAGCAGAATGTATTCTTCTTCTTCTACTACAACTACTAATTTTTCTTCTCCTTTTTCTTATCCTCATCTGCCTTCTCCTCCTCCTTCTTCTTCTTTATGTTATTATTTTTGCTTTTGTTGTTGCTGTTGTTAGCATTAGTAGTATAGTAGTAGTTTAATGCAGTAGTGCAGCAGTAATACTAGTAGTAGTAATAGAAGTAGTGGCAGCAGTAGCAGCAGCAGCAGTAGTAGAAGGAGTAGTAGTAGTAGTAGTAGTAGTAGTAGTATAGTAGTATCATCATTATTGTTATTATTTATTATTTTCATAATTATTTATCATTATCATTATTATTGTTGTTTTTGTTTTTGTTAATATTAATATTAGTATCACCATTATTACTACAATGAAATAATGTTATACATACAAGCAACGAGCATCAATGCGACGGGGACACTGCACAGCAAACCCAGCATAGCCACATCGGTATCGAAGACGACTACCATTTCGTCGATGAGCACCCCAAAAACCTTCTTGATTGACGCCACGATCAAATGGAACACAAATTTGCTGATCAGGATCACAAACTTCCACTTGCTTGTGGAATCTTCCTTTATGCTGGCCATGTTTTAACAAAATAATTTTAACTCGTTGGATGGCCAATCTTTATAATCAAGCCGAAAGGGAGACATAAAAGGGACTTTTAGGTTGAGTGGACGAGAACACGACGAACGCCGGCTGATCATGCGTGTCAACGTACTTAACTGCCCATGTTGACTACAATTAGAAATCTTTTAGACCCCCCCCCCCCCTGAATGAATAGATCATCCCCCCCCCCCCTGATGAATAGGTATCAGTTACGGATCGACACCCATGGTATATTTTATGCGCACGCGGCATACTATTACCTTGAGCATGTAAAGGCGCTATATAAATATCAATATGTATGTATGTACTAGATTTAGGAAAATCAAGGTTGACGCATTCTCGATCGCCGACTGAGACGACGTAACGCATGCTCTAAAGGTCCCTAATGACACGGTGAACTTTTGCCGAATATCATGAATTGAAACCCCGGCCTTCCTTATAATTGAGATCCATTATCATAGAATCTTTATGGCTCACTGAACTCTTACGTTAGGGACTTTTAGATTCGCACGAAGACAATAGGGATTGCTACGATCGACGTCCTTTTAATGCACTGCCTTGAATGGACGTCACACGCATCAGTCCACGCAATCTAAAAGTCCCTAATATACGGTGGTACTGCTTCCCTATTTTAGACCCTTACCCAACGTTTCAAGGACAGTATAACTACGATATATAATGCACAATATCGTATACCATACTTTGGCAACTTCCGAGATACTGTACTTTAAATTTCATTTGATAAAGATTAGGCTGATGCATGGTCCAAAACTAAACTGACCCCCCTGCTCAATTCATTAAAGAGCTCGATGCCGTGGTTTATAAATTCATTTGGTCTGGGAAGCCGGAGAAAGTTAAGAGATTCACTGTCATTGGTGATTATTCGGAGGGTGGTTTTCGTATGTGCCATATTCCTTCTCTTATTAAAGGCCTTAAAATTGCTTGGGTGAAGCGCCTTATTGACTCTAAAAATACTGGCAAATGGAAAATCTTCTTTGATTACAATTTGAGGCCCCTTCTTGGCAATCTCCTATGGTATTGTAATATGAATCCGTCAGAAAAAAGTATTGGCAAAATCAATGATATGTTTGTTAGGAATACTGTCAGCTCATGGTGTCATGAATAAAGAACAATACCCAATATAACCGTAATTGGTATAACAATGGTATTAAATACTATAAGGATTTACTTCAGGATAATGGTAACACACTCACTTTTAATCAGTTTACTGTAAAATACCCTAGGGTGAAATGTAATTTTATGGATTATTTTTCTTTGGTCCATGCAATTCCCTCTATTTGGAAAAAACCTAAGATCGCTGTTGATAGAGCGAACCACAACAGTTGGCAGAATGAGTTAATTGGCGATATGTGTAAAGCTAGTAAAGTTTGCAGATTCATTCAAAAACTTTGTGTTAATAGTATTTTCAATACTCCAAATTCAGAAAGGAAATGGGCCATCCACATGAATGAGGCAAACCTGGATTGGACTTCTATTTACCGTCTTTCTTTTAAGGCAACTTTGTCCACCAAATTAAGATATTTTCAATTTCAATTTCTCCATCGATATCTCCCTCTGAATAAATTTCTTTTTGATATTAAATTTATTGATTCAAAACTTTGTTCCTTATGTAAAACTGATGATGAGACATTGCAACATCTTTTTTGGGACTGTAGAATTGCTCATTCTTTTTGGTTAGAAGTGCAGGTAATACTGCACAACAGTTTTACTATTACCAACAGAGATGTTTTTTTGGTATCACGGATCCTGCTTTTGACATATTTAATTTTGTAATTATTCATGCCAAGTATTATCTGTATTGCTGTCGATGTAACAAGATATTGCCTACCAAGTATCAATTTATTTGTAAATTAAAACTAAGCTGTGCTATCGAAAAACAAATTGCCCTTAGTCGGGATAGACTTGACTCTTGGAACAAGAAATGGGATCTTTTGAATATTTAAATTTTGTGTATGCTTTATATTCTTGGTATTAAACGCTCTTTTTATTTTTTATATCTTATATAGGGTGTTTCTACATACATGTAATATGACCTGCTGGGTACATGCTGAACTCTTTTCTGTCTGTATTTTTTCACTTTCGATGTAAATTGTACGTATTTTGTCTTGTCTATTTTTGTTTTTGTTTGGTAATGTTAAAAAAAATGCCTAAATTGTAATAAGATTGTATGAGGTCAACTTAAGAGTGTAATATGGAGTTGGTGGTTATATTTTGTACGTTTTTTTTTTCCCCCACTAGTTCCAAGTACAAGTACAGGCAAATGAACATGAGAAAAAAAATTAATTTGACGTAATCACATTGCTCTTAATGATTTGTCTTCAAGTAATTAATGTCAAATAGGGTCAGTGCAATAGTCATAATGATGAAAATGGTATCTCCATCATAATTATATGGTACTCTGAGAGTTAATTTTTGTTTAAAGTAAAAACAATACCTGCAAAGACTGCCTATACTAGCGTATAGATTTTTTAAAATCTCTATTTATAATCTATTGATTATTTTATAATGGAAATTAACGTTCTAACTTAAATCGTAAAAGACCACTCCATGACAAATTTAGGGTCCTTGATTGAGTGAATTATATTTTTGTTTTAAAACATTGTTGAGAAATGATAGTAGTTTCAAGCGCTTTTCTTATATTATATGCTCTCTACATTGATAGTGACAGCAATAATGATAGTGATAATGATAGTGATAGTAATAATATCTGGATTGATAAAATAACAGCCATTAAAACAGTATTTCTTGTTTATCATCAACTAAATTTGATAGCCAAGTTTGGGGCTTGCAAACACACACACAGACTGCACTGTATTTCGTATATTTATATATGTTTGCCATTTCTGTATGTAGAATTTCTTTTAAAACATACTTTGATTCTGCTCTGGTAAGTGCGTTGTTGATTTCTATGTTTTTATTTAGTCCTGCTTTAGCAAACTAATCTGCTATCTCATCGTGATGTAGACCACAGTGACTGGGAATCCATTCGAAATTGCCCTGGGTGCCTTTGTATTTAAGCTGACTAAACAGGATTAGAAATTCAAGAATAAAAGATTCGTCCTTACAAGATTCTCTGGCCTGGAGTGAACTCAAAGAGACGGAAAAGATAACTGCCCCAGTGTAGAGACCTGGGAGTTGTAACAACCATAATGTGGCATTAGCTAGTCTGTGAGAAACATCATAATAAAGTACATGAAATGCAGCAGCAGCAGAGTCTTTATCCGGTGTTCTTGATCCATCTTATGTGTAAAGAAGTATTCCATTTCGAATTTATCAATTCCAGGGCTGCTTTTCTTCGGGCAAAACAGATATCTGTTTTCGTTATAACCTCTTTAAGCTTAGTTAACACATGGGAAGATAGCATATACCCCCAATAAATTTCCAATCAAGTATTATATCATTATTGTAGTCTCTTACGAAGTCGTCGATAAAAATTCACAGTTCGTAGGAAAAAATAATTCGCCAGCCGACCGATATTATACATCTCACCGAGTTCAAACTTCTGCACGAGGACCAAGCGAGAATACCGACACAGCTGACCCGACACAGCAACATATCTACACGTATCTTTCTTGCTCCTTCGACGAGATGACTCTATCCAACAACCCCCCCCCCCCTCTCTCCCTCTCTCTCTCTCTCTATCTTACTCCCACCCCTCCTCTCTCATGCTCTTACCCATCTCTCTCCTCTCTTTCATCTCCCCGTTTCTTTTGTTTCATTTTCTTCCCCCTGCCCCTTTTTCTATTTTTTTCCTTTTCTCCTTTTCTTTCTTTCCTTTCTGTTCTTTCATTTCATTCTTTTCTTTTATTTTATTTTCCTTTTTTTTTTTTTTTTTTTTTTTTTTTTTACCTATGAGTACTTTTTTTTCCATCTCTTCTCTTTCCTTTCTTTTCCTTTCTTTATTTTCCTTTCCTTTTTTCTCTTTCCCTCCCCTTTTCTCATTTTACCCCGACGGCAGCGCTATTTTACAGACAATAACCTGATAGGTGGGGTGTCGTTCCCCCCCCCCCCCCTCAAACGACGCCCCTGGACAACGGCATCTTTTAAAACACTATTGACCGGTAGGATGGCATGACTAAAATCACGACTCCAATTTCGACTAATCAGATGATTAGTTTTATTCAACATACTAAAGAGAGGTCTATAGATTTATATACCTCGATTAAGAAATCCAGCCTTCTGATTGGTCGAAATTGCAATCGTGATTTTAGCCATTCCCGTAAAGAAACAAAAAATGCCAAAACCATTCAATAGTCCAAGAGTAAAATCCAGGGCAAAAATTCTTGGTAGATTTTTGTTTGAATTCGGCATATAAAAAGGATATCGACTGCTTTAATACTCGAGGACTGGCTGTTTCTTTACTGGCTCTCGGGAAATTTGCCTCCGCTGCTATATCACCCCTAGGGGCGCCACCCACCCAGGCGCGCCTCAGGCTGATAGCAGCGGAGGCAAATTTCCCTTGAGCGTATAAAAACAGGCAGTCCTCTCGTAGCAGTCGAATATTGACTGCTATAAGACGAATCGCTGTTTCAGGCTCAAGAGTACGTATTACATCCTCAATATGACCCCTCGGCGCGCCGCGAATGTAACGTCCCCGAGAGCCAGTATAGAAACAGCTATGCTTTGAATATTAAAGCAGTCCATATATCTTTTATAGACCGAATTCACAAACAAATCTACAAAGAATTCTTACCTTATTCTTTTCTTGAGTAAATAATGGTTAAAACATCACAGAAAATCTGAGACACTGTCTGTAAATCTTTGCTAAAACGTTGCCTGAATGTTAATATCATTCGGGAATCGCACACACACTGCACTGTATTTTGTCTCCGCGCTCGCGCAAAGAAACATTTTACACATAAACCATTGGGGATCTCAGCAAAATTTATTTATACGACCCGCTACCCGAGGCAACGGGCATCTTTTAACAACTATTGACTGGTAGGAGGGCATGGCTAAAATCACGACTCCAATTTTGACCAATCAGATTGACTAGTTTTATTTAAGATACTAAATAGAGCTACATAAATTAGGCAAGCAATGTTTTGGTATGCCTGTATTTATATAGCTGGGAGACTTTGCATACATTTTAAAAATATGCTACAAATTATACCTCGATAAGCATTTCTGTTAATAGTTTTAAATATTACAGACTGAGTATAGTGAGGTCAAACTGAAGTTGCCATAAAGTTCAATGTTTTATGTAATAGTTAATATATAACGGGAAGATGTTAGCTGTAAAAACTCACATCTCCCTGGTAATACCTATTTTGGGGGTCAATTGTTTGTTTAATTAAAAATGTTTTGGGGTTATCAGATCTGCATCATCGATGTAGTGTATACAACAGTGTGTAGTGTATACAGCAGAGAAGATAAAGAATCGAAGATAGAAGTGAAAGATGGATATAAATAATAAGACATACGGGGGAAAAAGACAGAGCGAGTGTGTTCGTTTCGCTTTAAAATGCACTATTTTCCCACTTCAAAGGGGCAAGGAATATGTGTCATCCCCGCCTGATCAATCTGCCCCTCAAATTTTGATCATCAAGTACAGCGTTTTTTTTTTAAGTGGGATGGCGCAATTCATTTCAGATATTACGAGAGAAATTAAGTTATATAGATATATTAATCGATGGAATGACGTCGAATTCATGAAAACCGAGAGAATATGTAACTATACGGGGGAAAAGTACTTTGAAAATAATAAAGAGTCTTTCTTTCTCGCTCGCAACATTTAGAAACAGAATGATTCCAGGCAGCTAGATGCCCGAATATTCTTTTATTCAACAGTGAGGTATAAATCTTACATCATTTATATCCAAATCACATTTCCACCACGCTCTTCCGTTTTACTCGCTTGCAACATTTGGGCAATGAGATGGCCGAATAACCGTATTAGTGTATCGAGGTGACCGAATATGAGGTTGTTTTTTTTTGTAATCATGTATATCTCTCGGTGAAAGGCCCGCAAACATTATTGTATGTTTTATCTAATGGGTTGATTACAAAACTATTTTTTACCTTGATTATAAATGTCTTCTTTTTTTGCGCTCGCTTCGCTTGCTCGCAACAATTAAAATGAAAGATGCTGGTACTCGTGTATAATGGCAAATGGCGAGTGCAAGGGGGATGCAAAGTGAATATTCTGTGATGAATTTGTGATTGGGGTGACGCCAATCTTCTTATTTCTTAAAAGGATGCCGTGACTAAAATAAAACAAAATTGAAAACATTGATTTAGTAGCCTAAGACTGGCGCCCCCCCCCCCCCCCATCGTGACTGAGCCCACGCTACGCCACTGATGATAGTTGTAAAATAAAATATTTAATCAAATACAAGATATACTAAACCACTGATTGGATGAAAATCATTCCAGGGATAAAATAAAGGCTTTAAAGCCCCACTGCACTACTCTACATGCGCCCTCTATATAGCAAACAATGCCTAATCGGTGGTCATTGGTCCCCCATGATCCCCTTTTTCTTATGTTAATTGAGAGCTGAGTTGATGAGATAGCCACCTGTCACTTGATGACCATGCAGGAAAGTCTTAACCCCCCCCCCCCCCCCCTGGCCAAACGAGTGCAGACGGGCTTCATGTGTAAACAGATCTAAAAGAAAAGAAATTAATGAATGTTTGTGAGTGTGAATTTTCAAATACTCTGCTGTCATTTTATATAAGATTACGGTACAAAATATAAATTGTCAAAGTCAATAAGCTTTTTGTGCCAGTTTAGAATGACCAAGAGCTGATACTGTTTATGTGTGATTATGTAGAACCTAATAACAGTGAAGGGTTTGAAGTTTGGCGTTTGATCATACATCAAAACCTGAATCAAGTGACCAAGAATATATATATCAAAAAAATCAAACTGTTTTTTTTTTTTCATAGGCTGACTGGGAGGCTTGAATTGAGCATTTCCTTGTAACTTCGATAACAATATGATGATTCGGAGGCCTAATACGTACATTAATTAGAAATCTTGAATTTTTTTTTTTTTTAAATTAAAAAAAGTTTCTGTTTCATCGAGCCATGTATAATCCGTTTGCGGAGACCTTTAAAGATCAAGACCAGCGGCCAGCGGCCACCGTGCCCCCCCCCCCCCCCCCATTTACGTTGGTGTCCGGGCAGGTTGTGCATCCGGACAATTTAAAGATACTATGTCCCTTTTGCAGCCATTGAACTGTGCAGGAATTATGAATATGTCATCCTATCTGTGAAATTTAAAAGTTAGCAGTGTCCTAACATTCAAATTATGCAAGGAAACCTGTTTACTTGCTAGACTTCACTGTCAGACACTATTGAGTGACTGACTGGCTTTTTTTCCTCTTTGGTAATAACATACAAGATGAGCTGTAAAGGGTACAATCATGAGCATTTGTCTACATCAATAACCCACTTCTTATGATGGCCAAAATTAAACTGATTGAATCTTTGCGCAGCATAAAACGTACGACCATTCGATACAATGGTCTGAGAAACAGACTATTACTTACTGGCTCTATAGCTCTTAAGTCGATTCGACAACTATATTGGTCGTTATTTTCCCACTTAAAGACATTTTCAAGCCCCTTTTTTATAGGGAATTTCTAAATTAGTATTATCTTTCAAATGCCGTTGGAATTAACCTTTTCATTTTTGTTGGCCTGCAAATGGGACATCGTACCTTTAAGTTAGTAATTAAAGGAAGTTTGCCGCTAAAATTCAGGGGCGGATCTAGCTTTTTGCTATGGGGGGGGGGTTGACCCAATGACGATGCGAAACATCGCGATTTTTGTTGTTGCTATTATGATGTTTTCCTGGCATATAATAACACAGACTATAAAAAACAGTGCATGATAACGTCTTTTTAAATCAAGTAACATGATGGCGTTTTTCACATTTTCACTTGGCACCCCTAACCACCCCCCCCCCCCCGTAGGTCCGCCCTTGATATATTTTTATGACGGTTACTGGTTGCATACTTTTCTATAAACATTATAAAGGAAAAGAGCCCCCCCCCCCCTCCTCCATTCTACTTTCTTTTAAAGAAAACAAATAGAGTCTAGTAAGGGAAACTGTCCCTATCTAGGAACTATCCTACTACTACGCCCACCTGTACATGGTAAAGGTCCAGCGCATAACAAAATCATGTTTAGCGCCAGCTGTAGATTTTTTCGAGAAAAGTTCTGTGTTGACGTTTGTGCTCTCCGATATGGCGATAGGAGTTACGTTATAGGGAGTTTACCACATGCGCATATCACATGCACGTAGACACAAAATACCTAGTTTCTCTCGTGATCTGTTGCCCAGACACGCATATGCTCTGCATTTCTCATGGATATTGACCTGAATTGGCAAAAAGCTCTGCAAAAATGAATGGAAAGGATAAAAGGCGGGTAACGAAGTTCGGGGATCAGGTGAAAATCTTGGTTGACTCGCTGTCAACTCAGGACAAATCTCGAACAAAATGCGTCAAGAAATTGTTTCGCGGCGTTACTCGCAACTCGAACCCAGAGGAGGCCGAGGCCGTGCAATTGCTATTGGGACGGGATCACGAATGGAGGAGACATCAAGTTCAAGTTATGAAGGCTTTGTCCAAAATTGTCCGACTCATGATGATAACAGAGGGTACAACGGTAAGAATAAAGCAATGTAGAGTATGATATACAGTAAATATATGAGTGGCCGGTGGATGACGTATTCTGTAAAACGTAAACTAAATTTCACATGATTTTGGCAACATTTTTCTGACGGCCACACCAACTTTCACTTTGTTCATGTTTTTTCATGCCTGCATAATGCATATAGACCGAATTTTCAGTCTCTTTCGTTCGTTAGCCTCTTATTGGGGTAGGGTTGGCTCTCTCTTTAGAGACGGAAGCCGACTATACGCATTCCCTTGCTAACACCAAGACCATTTATGGCCATATTTTTATGCCCCGAAAATCCCCCGAAAATCCCCCGAAAATCCCCCCAAATGTCATTTTACCTCGTGCATGTTAGATCTATATTGTAAATTAGGCCTAGATTTTCTAGGCCCTAGGCTATAATAAATCGGTTCCACTTACCAACTTGACTGAAATAATCTGTTTAATGGTCCCTTTTTAGGAAATTTTGGGTCAAAATCGAAAATCATGTTGAAAATCTTGCAAGACGTATGTTAACTCTCGCTGCGCATGACGTCATCTAAATCTCATCCGTTCTAGTCAACGCCGAAGGCAAAATGATTATGAAGGAAAAACTGTGCGCGAGCTACACGTTCGTAATGGCGTTTTCACAGTTTTTCTTCATAATCATTTTGCCTTCGGCTGGACTGGACACAGAGCACTTGAATTGAGATGCCATCCAGGAGTCGTCTGTGACTGTGGCAGTGCTGGTAGAGTTAAAAGTTATACTAGTTACGAAGCAGTGACAGTGTGAGTTCAATGAATAAATAGATGGTTTCAGTAACTGTATTTCTCCAAACTCTTGTTTGAATTGTTGTACTTAAATAAGCTGATAAAAACTAATACACAGCGAATGGACCTGGAGCCTCACGTTTGGTGCTCCCTTATCAATATATTCATTTTCCTTTGTCTTTCAGTTTCATGAGATGGAATGGAATGAGTTAATGGAACTCTTCATAAGCTGCCGTCTGTTTGATGTTGTTAACCTCCTTCTTCGCATAAAGGTGACCAATTAAGATCTTTACACTGTTATTTCAATGATCACAAACATGTATTTCTCTTTTCATAAGTGCATAAAATATTTTATATCTTGATTTGTTAGAAGTCTAGATGCTTTGACTCCTCAAAGTTGCACCATTTATTTTTTACATACTTCTGAGGCCAGAGTGTGTTTGAATGAAACTTTTAAAATGCTTTAAAATATTGCATAAAGACCTATCTCCATATGAAAATGCAATTATATTCTTGCCATGCCAATTATATTTAAAAAAGATAGGGAATCATTACCATTCAAAATCAAAACAAATCTAAACAAATCTAGAATATTGTGTTCATGGCCAGTAATTGGAATCAATAACTAACAGTTGAAAAAAGAGACTAGTGGTAAACTCGCCCCACTTTATATTTTTTTTCTTTTTAACAACTCATATTTACTGATTAAATCTTAATATATTTATATCAGTTTGTAAGCAATTTTTCATTTATTGGGGGATTTACAATGTAGTATTAATCAAAATGTATTATGAGTGGATTGAGTGTTAATTTTTAATAACCTGTTGATACTTCATTTTTTTTTGTGTTATCAAAATATATGTTTCTACTTTCTAGGGAACATCATTCATGCCATAAATGTCCATTTTAAGATGAAGACACTTTGGCAAGTTAAAAAGGCATAGTGATAAAAAACAAAAATGATAATAGAATGTTAAATATGTACAGTGCTGGAAAGGGCATGGCCTAAATTGGCTAAGCAACCAGTGTGTAATAAAATGTGTGGTATTGGGGAATTTTGATGCCAGAATTAAGTGTTCTCCTTTTTTATTCAAAAGGTCCCGCAGTCTGTGACGGAGGACGATGCAAGCAGCGGCTTTGGAGACTCGTGGGAGTCGGTCTACTTCCACAGCTTGGAGATTACCAGTAATATCATATCCAGCAGCTATATCTGCCGCACTGAAGACATCACCAAGCCCTTCTTCGATGAGGTCATCAAGCACAAGTCGTTCTTGGATGTGGTTGTCGGGTATGCCATGGGTAAGAGAGGACGTCCAGAGCTCTTGCTTGATTTTTTTTTTTTGGGGGGGGGGGGGGGCATCAGCCATGCAATCTAGATGATTGTTTAATAATACATGTAATACTAAAATTAAGTAATGGTGGCATCTTATAAGGGGCTTAGGTCTTTTACTTCTTGAAAGTCCATTTTATGATATTAAACTATTTAAATTGTCATAATAAATCAGAAGAATTTAAATTCATTGGACCCCTGTTACACATTCCTCTGAAAGTGGACTGAGGCCAGCCCCGGAGGCGGCTCGACGTTTGTGTAACATCACCTTTTTTTAATAGCCGAACTGAGGCCGGACTAAGTCCGCCTCCATCCAGTCCACCTCTTGATGTGGTTTGAAGCCGACCCGAGTCCGTACTCAGTCCCGCAATCAGTAAGTGTAACACCAAAGTGGACTCGGCGCCAGCTTATAAGCGGAAGTGAAGTGGCCCGTCATCATATATCACCATTACATCAGGCACGCTTTGCCATCAGGAGTGCGCCCCAACGTGAGGCCGGCCTACGTGTAGACGCAAAATTGCGGGCCCAAGATATGTATAACGGGGGTTTGATGATGTCGAGGCGGCTTCAAATTGCAGGCGTGAGGCCGTCTCCAGAGCTGGCTTTAAAAGCTGATGCATGTGTAACAGGGGTCTTAGTTTTATCTGCACAAGCTTAAAATCGACATCTGTGCAAGCAACATTGGTCAATGTTCGTTCAGCACAATTTCAGTTTGTTACGACAATTACAGAATATGGCCCCATATGTAATACAGGGTTCTGTTTCTCTTTTTCAGATACAAGTCGACCAATCATGACCTGCCACGCCCTCCACATCCTGTCCTACTGTTGTCACAACAATATCCCATCGGCTAAGAAAGTGAGTATAGAACAGGGGCAGGTGCAGGATTTTTTGCCTCCGTTACGAAGTAGCCGGAGGCATTATGTTTTCGGGTTGTCCGTCCGTCCGTCCGTACGTCCCGTTCTCGTGATCGCGTTATCTGAAGAACCGATTGATGGATTCCTGCCAAACTTTGGTCGTGTATGTATCTTGCAGATCCGATGAATTGATTAGATTTTGGGGTCACGAGGTCAAAGGTCAAAGGTTACAGGGCTCATTATGTATGCAAAAACAGCTCGTGATCGCGTTATCTGAAGAACCGATTGATGGATTCCTGCCAAACTTAGGTCATGTATGTATCTTGCAGAGACGATGAACTGATTAGATTTTGGGGTCACGAGGTCAAAGGTCACAGGGCTCATTATGTATGCTGAAACAGCTCGTGATCGCGTTATCTCAAGAACCGATTGATGGATTCCTGCCAAACTTAGGTCATGTATGTTACTTGCAGAGCCGATGAACTGATTAAATTTTGGGGTCATGAGGTCAAGGTCAAAGGTCATGCGGCTCATTATGCATGCAAAAATAGCTTGTGATCGCATTATCATTAGAACAGATTGATGGATTCCTCCCAAACTTAGATCACATATGTATCTTACAGAGCCAATGAACTGAGTAGATGTTAGGGTCATGTGGTCAAAGATCAAAGGGTCATATATGTATATGAGAAATTGCTTGTAATCACGATATTCTGAGAACCTGTTAATGGATTACAATTGAACTTGAATTTGAACAATTTCTTCTGTTTTGGTTTGTAAAATTGCTCTATGACGGAGGCATCATTTCGACTGCGCGCAGTCGAAGTTCCATCTAGTTTTTGTTTTTTGTACAAGGGGGGGGGGGGGGTTATGTGGTTTATGGAACGCTTCACGATTTTTGCGTATTAGCCCTTCACAGGGGCCAGTGTAATCTTAATTTCTCACAAGAAAGGGGGGGGGGGGTTCACATGCTGGTGGGTCAAGAAATGTTAAAAGGGGGCACCTTTTAGTTGTTGTGTACTTTTTTTTTAGGGGGGGGGGAGAGATGTGTTTCTGAGTCTCCGTGAGTACATGTACGTTTCCAAGACCTTTATTGTGAATGGTCACCAACTTTGAGCAGTGACCTTTCTTTACTTTTAAACTTTATCAGATGATTAGAAGGATACTTGTATGTATGTGTGTTTATTTCTTCACTATAATTTGTTGTTTCTTCCCCTAATTCTGTTCATCATGTAGCTCGGTAAGAAGAAAGACCTGTTTGGGAGACTCTGCGAGTACGTCAACAAGAACTTTGCCACCAAGCTGACCTCTGACTGGTTCAAGGGTGGAGTGGAGCAGTACGAGTTTGATATGATGGGCGACAGGCCTCAGGGTCTGATTCCTCTCTACTTCCAGGAAGCCTTCAAGGAGCACTCCATGGAGGAGATGACCAAAGATGAACAGAGACAGTGTGTCATGTCGTATACTTACTGCATGCACCTCTTCGGTCTGAAGCTTATGGCGATAGTAAGTCACTTTAACCCATTGCATACATGAAATAAATAGTTCTTACATCAAGACAGGGGAATGATAGTGATAATGATATTCCGCTTTTATATAGCACCCAATACATTGATACGACGATGTGTCTAAGCGCTTTACAGATATATTATTACCCCGGTCATCGGATTCAGGCTTACCCACACACATTCTCCACTCCCTGGGGAGCATTCCAGCCAGTTGCCATTTTACAAGCGCACACTTGCTCATCCAACCACATTAATGTTTGCATCCTACCATTTAACACCTGGGTGGAGAGTGGCAAATGTAGATTAATGTCTTGCCAATTAGGTAGTCCAACATGCTAAACAAATAAAATCACCTGATAGAAATCAGGCAGGAGATTCCTTTGCAGATATGAGGTTAGAGAAATTTTGAAGAAAAAAAAGGACCATAAGTTTTCTTGCTGCATACAAGTTGCTTATATATGCCCGGTTAGGTGCGCAATCCATTGGTCTGAGGTGGGTATAGCGGGTAGAACGGTAGTGTGTTGAGCAGCAGGCTACTACCTGTTTAGGAAACTCACTAAACATTGAAGGCATTGTTTAACAATGTTTCCAGTTGAAACAATCTGAGGTGCGTGGCCCTCTATGTGCATCTCAGATTTAATATTGTCAAACAATGCCTTTAAGAGAGTACGCTACGAGTTAGTGAGAGATTTGTGTTGCGAGGTCTTGTGGTTTGCATCTAAAGTACTGTGCAACTACACTATTTACCGTAATTCCTCTCAACATTTTCATGAGGTAAAGATTAGGGCAAGAGTTGCTTTATCTATGTGAGTCTAGAGTAAAATCTGGCTAGATTGGATGACATGATAATATATGCCCAATCCTTAATATGCATTATGGTTGTACATTGTGTAGACAGGTTTATGTTTTTTCTTTTTAATGTTAATCCATACCCAAATACATTTCTTTCTCCTTTTAGTTGACCATTGCAGATGATAATGCCAGAGATGTTGTAGTGAAAGATCCTACTTTACTCAAGGTAAGTGTTTAGTCAAGCTACTGCTTACAATAGTCAAGTATGTTATTTCATTTCATTTATTTCATTCTCCATAAAAACATTAAAACATACAAACATGATAATTATACAGATAAAGATCGATAACTAGAAAAATACAAAGGGAAGGAGCAAACAAAATTTTATGGGAATGTGGGGTTAGCAAAAAGTGCAATTAGCCTTATGAACGTCAACCCCTTAACAAATATACACTGTATTGTTGAGAAAAGAAAAAGAGAAAAACCTTAACACCAATACAAAAAAGAGAAAAAAGAAAGAAGGGAAAGGGAGGGGGAATACATTACAAAGTGCATTTAGTGTTTAACACTAAAAAGGGTGGGTTATTTTGGTGCTCTCTCACCCGAGGGGGTTGGGGGGGGGGGGGATTCTGAAACTAGACATAGAGATAGAGTATCTCATAAAAATAAGCCTGTGAAGTTTCATATTTATTTCTCAAATGGTTTATGAATTATTATACAAATAATACACAGCAGTGAGGGCATTAGTAATAATTACCCACACAAGGTACCTTTGGAACAGTCTAACATGCCCGAGGCGATAGCCAAGGGTGTTTGGACTGTTTTGAAGGTACCATATGTGGGTAATTTTACTAATGCCCGAACAAACTGATGGTTATTATTTGTTTTATAAGATGATGTTTTATTTGCTTTATGAAATGATGTTTTATGACATGATTTTACTAATGACCGGTCATTTGTAACAAAAATTGGTATCTGGGACTTCACAAACAAATACTAATGACAAAGTCCCAGATACCAATTTTTGTGTGCAAGTGCTGTTCACTGTTCAATGTATATGATTTTTCTTATCTACCCGGTAATCATTTTGATGAATTCAAAACCTCAGAATACAGAATTGATTGTAAGAACACTACATAATCATCTCTCTCAAATGTTTCTTTCTCATTAATTTCATTATCCAGCCTTGTATTCGCTGGTTGGAGGCACCCGTCACCAGTAAGTTTGCCTCTGCGGCACTCAATGAGACTCTGCTCATCCTCACGGGGTTGTGCAACAGCGAGGCTATCTGCCACAAACTAATCTCTACACACAACCTCATACAACTATTGGAAAGAGGAGGTAAGCAAATAATGCAGGATGTGCTGGCAAACACACTTGTCTTTCTTGTTCTTGTTTCTGTTTGTCTGTTTGTTTATTTTTATGGAGCTGCTTAGGTTAACTGACAAAATATTCATCATGACTTGCAAGTCAGTAAACCCTTGTAAGAGGGAAAATGCTGACTTTAATTAATGATGACGATGATTCAATAATCAAACAGCCTCAAGCAGATTTTTTTTAATTTTCAGATAGAGAGAGAGAGAGAGAGAGAGATGCCAAAGAGGAAAATCCAATGATGTAACATTTAAAAGTGAAATTGATGTGATATAAATATAATATAGAAAGCATGATTGATTGTCCATCAAAAGTAGTGGAGAAAAGAGTTAACAGTTAAAAAATTAATTGAATAGATCTGAAATAACCAGAGAAAAAGTGGTTTACCATAAGCCTAATTCAAGTTTGCAAGGGGGGGTTCTTCAAAATGAAGGTGCTTCTTTTATACCAACTGGAAAATTGTGTTTACCTATCTCTTGTATTTCTTTCCCTCACAGTGTTTTACGGAACCTATGATCACGTCAGCAATTTTTTTCATCTCACAACAAAAATCGCGTCACACGAGGGCATGCTCCGATCCAAAATTGGCGCAGTCGAGGTAAGACTCACAAATTGAATTTGTTGTTGTTGTTGCTATGAATCATAATCGTTTAAAGAGAAGGTTGAGTTCTGGGAAGAGGTGAAAAGTAATTTATGAACAGTGTCATTGTTATTATGCGAGTGTGGAAGAACATCAGATAAAAAATGTTCCCTGAAAAGCTTGAATGTTAAATGTTTCTTATAAGTTGTTTATGTCATGTGCAAGTTATGGAAAATACGTAGAAACAATACAGTCAAACCTGTCTTAGAGGCCACCTCTCTATAGTGGTCATGTTAATTGTCTCCCTCTAGAATGAAACATGTGTGGTAGAACCTGTCTAGAAAGGCCACCTATCAATGGTCAATTTTCTTGGTTCCCGGAGGTGGCCTTAATAGACAGGTTTGACTGTGTGTGTATCAACTATCAAGAACTGCACAATTGTTATGATTGTTTTGAGTGTGTATTTTTTAATTGCTTGCTATAAATGCTCACCAGTGTAAATTATTCAATGTACACGTACTCTGAGTAGCAAGTGGGGGGGGGGGGGGGGCACGTGCCTTTCACTTTTGTGCTCCCTGACCCACTTGCTGCTCCCACTCCTATTATTATTTCATATTCTTATTACGTATTTATGACTTCCCATTATTTTGTATCTATGCTTTTTATGATTGGTCAAGTAAACAATAATAGATGCTGCTTATACATGTAAGTAACAGTACCAACAGTCCTTTTCAGGACTACACACACTCAAGAAAGAAAGATTACTGAGAGTCCTTTTCAGGACTCTCCAATCCTCCCCCCCCCCCCTCCCTCCCTCTTCCACATGGTGCAACCACAAGCCTACTGTATAAACAATAATAATAATGAATGTTATTTTTTTTTTCTGGGTTGCACAGAACATTGCCCGAGCAGCCACAGTGCACATGTACAGTCATGCCCATGAGCTACGCCTCTACATGCTCACCTACCTGACATACATCGTAGAGACAGACGGTGTTCATCACATGATCAAGTACTTTGGTCCTCATCACATCCACTACTACCCATCATACTACTTCAATGAAGCAGTAAGTATATCCTCTTATTTAAACCCTTCAATCTTTAAAGGGAGTGGGTCGTCAGTTTCCATGTGCAGAAGGCCATAATTTGCTGACACCAGACTTGGTAGAAATGCCATTAAAGGTATAGGCCAGTTTTGGAAACGCCCCCCTCTCAAAAAAATAAAATGGAAGCTCTTATTACCAATCATGTGAAAGAATATTTTTTGACTAATACCTGATGATACAAATTTTGCCGGGACACAGCCTAGTAATTGATATATTTGGTAAATTATCATATCTATCCAGCCTGGATAAATATTGTGTAGTCCCATATACATCTTTCTGTGTACAGTGCTTGTAACTTCTCCAAGACTGGGCCAAATTTCTTATCATTTTGATGATTCCAGAACCTTGCAGTACACACCAATACTTATATGCTAGATGATCAACCTTTCTTATCGATTCCACACCGTTTCTTTCACAATGCAATCGCATGACCAGAACTGGTCTTTACCTTTAATGTGTGTAGAGGTCTGCACACAGCTAACCCGTAGGCCTATCAAGAAATACCTCCTTGTCTCTCAGAGAGGTGAGGGAAAGTGAGATTAGGACCTGACAGCATGGTGAGACTGGATGAGCAATGCAAATTATTACATAATACCGGTTGGTCATAAAACTGAAGGCTAATCCTGGTGATTGACAACACCTTGTATTGGGTAAACACCCAAACAGTGTTGCATTCCCCATGATGGCCCACTCCTATGTGTCTTTGAAAACTAGAGTTCTGGTTATGGAGTTGCAAGCAAAAAATAATATTACACAACTCACGCCAAGATCCTAATCAAATAATTGGTTGAATGCAGTCTTGTGTGATTCATTTATTATGACTATCCAACAATTTCATTTTAGAGCTGTACGCTGTTTAGAGGTAGATGCACTCTAACTCTAAATCTGCTAAAGAAAGCTAAAGAAAATGTTATTTGCCATCATGTGCAGTTATTGTGTCCTTACATAACAGTGTATGCGCAGGTAGAACTATGCCTGGACAATTTTTTTTTGCTATAGTGCCCAGCAGTCAGTAGTGAGTTTCAAGCTTGCATTTTTTACCTATGAGAGACATAGAATCTTCAAATGTGGTATATAATATTATTTGCATCTTTTTTCCTTCTCTCCACAGAGACAAATAGACATGAACGTAACAGACCTCCTGAAAGGCTACAAATACTATGCTGAAAGGTAGGTTGGCGTTAACTATGATCAAGAATAGGCAAAGACTTCTGAGGTCAGCCGCTCTCTGACCAATGTTACACCCCCTTCAAGCAGTGGTACAGCCTAAGCAATTGTACAATGTGTCTGAACATTCATATCTGCTGTTTTAGTAAAGCCATGTAGTGGTTCTTGTATAGCCCTCATGTCTCCTGGTCAAACTGGACACTCCTGGCCCTCCACAATGAAAACCCCCTGCTTTAGCTTGGCTACCACTAAGGCGCTCTAGCATTTACCAGGTACCCATTTACCTCCCCTGGGTGGAGTGTGGCAAATGTAGATTACTGTCTTGCCAAAGGACATTAGTGCTGCGACAGGGATACAAACCCTGTAACTTAGGGTCCACAGTCTTATTCACTGGACCACAACACCTCTACAATATCTAGTATAGTAGAGAAACATTCACATGCTTTTCTACTCTACTAAATATTTGTTGTGTGGTCAAGTTGAAATAGTCCATTGGTCAAGTCTATGGAGCACCAGGACTGTTCCTTCCTATAGAGATTGCAGGTGGGAGGGAACTACTCGAAGCTCCGAGAATTGACCCTTGAGTGATTAGGCATACATGTGTCACATTTGTCTCTTTCAGTTTACTTCAAGTAAAACGATTTTCATCTCTATTGTAAAAATCTACCGATGTACTGTAAGAATCTTCTACCTATAAGTGTTGCCAACTGAAAGGTATAAAATTATTTATTTTAATGTTCAACAAACATATGGTGATTGTGTAGTGTATTGTGTGTTGGTATTGTTTTTACAGTGTTATTCAATGTATTTGCTTTCCATCCAGTCTAGCTATGAAATATAAATGAGCATTATAAGAGAACCCTATTTCTAATTACTTTTTCAGTGCATACCGGCATGCGGATGGTCAATTTCAACAGCGAATGAAAACAAGCAACGGTCTGCACCAAGGCAGAGCTGAGACGCTGAAGGAAGAAGGGAACAATGCTTTTTTAGGCAAGAACTACAAGGAAGCCATATCTAAATACACAGAGGGCCTTGTTATTTGCCCCCCACTCAAGAAAGAGAAACAGCTAAAATCATGGTAAGAGCCTAAAGATATTAGCCCCAATTCACAAAGGAGGCTTGTTGACAAACCGAGGTTTATGTACGTCATATGACGCGTTTTGACGTGTTTTTTACAAACCAGGCACGAAAACCAAGGTTTGTTGACAAACCTCCTTTGTGAATTTGGGCTTTGCTCTTTGTCTATGTTTATTATACGTTTAACATACTGTACTCTTTCTATATCCCTATTTGTATTTCTCCCTTTTCTCTCTCTCTCTCTCTCGCTGTCTCCCTTACTATTTCTTCTTCTTTCTCCTTGACCTCTTACTTTGTAATTGTGCAATATTTTTCATTGATAGCGGGAATTTAATCATCTTTTAATTGTCTATGCATTAATAATAATTATTACGACATCTTTTAACATGTTACCTGACATTCATCAATTTTGTTCCTTACCAAACATCCTTCTCTCAAATTGAAGCACTTATGTCAACGCTGCACAATATATTTGTTATCATCAAAGTCGTATTTGTGGGTGTGGCTAGTTACCAGAAACAGTAGATTTGAAACTTGTTTAACAAATGCTTTGTATGGTGTTTGTAACAGGTATGACCTACCTATCACCCTGTACTGCAACCGAGCCCAAAGCCATCTTAGTCTAGAACAATACCAACAAGCTATCAAGGACTGCGACAAAGCCATCGCAAGGTGCATTGGAGGTAAGCATACAAATTCTGATTTAGGTATTGTACTCTTTTAAAGCCCTCCTGCACTAGTTTGGCCAGGAGCGATTCTCACAATGAACATGACGGACAAAGAAAGCGGACAAAATATACAGTTCCTCAGGTAGACAAGGGAACATCCCTTCACTGCTATTATGTAAAAATGTGTAGAACAGGTGTCACTTGCATATTCACCTGCTCTACACATTTTTACATAATAGCAGTGAAGGGATGTTCCTTTGTCTACCTGAGGAACTGTAAATTTTGTCCGCTTTCTTTGTCCGTTATATTCATAGTGTATACCTCCCTGCAAGGTCACTTTAACATAAGAAAAAAGGGGATCATGGGGGACCAATGGTCACCGATTAGGCCTTGCTTGCTATATAGAGGGCTCAATAACATTGTTATCTAAGGCACTCTGCCCATTGCATAAACAGAGACCTACTACTTATCTGGACATCTCTTCCATCTCTCTTGGCAGAGTTGTTCATTTTCTTAACTCATTGCCTATGGGACCAGGGGGGCGTTACACAAAAATCCTAAGTTGGACTTAACAATTATGGAAAGCCGTTAGCATCCTTGAAAATATTTTGTAAATTTTGTTTTCAAAGGCATAAAATGTTGATTCAAATCATTCTTATTTTCTATTATCAAGGAGATTTCATGTTCTTGATGTGGAATTTATAAAAGTCTAAAATACTTTTTGCTTTTGAATATATTGTGTTTTGGGGGTGCAAATGGCTCTCCATAATGTTTAAGTCCAACTTACAGTTAAGTTTGACTTAGGATCTTTGTGAAACACCCCCTGGAATATCCCCGTATTAGCCTATAGGGACCAGGTTATCCCTGTATTAAGCTTTAATGGAATTAGAGAATTCAGTAGCCATAGGGTTAATCAATTTTTTTACTTGTCTCTTCTTTCTCTTTCTCTCTCTCACTCACTCCTTTTTAACACAACAGTGGCAGATCCTACCAACAGAATTGGCAATGTTAGGAACAACACTTTAATGAGAAAAGCCCTGTACCGCCGATCTAGGGGACTCTTCTTTGTTAAAGATTACTACCGGGCTCTTTGTGACATCACACTATGTCTAATGGGGGATGACACGGCTGACTATTTCATATCACACAGAGACAAGGTGAGTGGGTCCCCAGCAGGGACATGAACCCTGCTGGATGATTAAAGGGAAATCCGAGCTTGAGAGCAAGTTGACCTTAAAGGGACTTATTAACATTGTTCAGATGAGAGCAAATGGTGCTAAGGTAGCGATTTCAATGCTAGATGTACAGTTAAAGATAATTTGAAAACAGACCATTATTACTGATAAAAATTGGGAAAAACTGGTCTGATTGATTCCTTAATTCTCCCAACTATATTATCACAATTTTATTAAATTTTAGGTGAATGTAAATCGTCACAAAGCAATGAATTTTTCAAGCCTGTTTGATGTCATTTACATGGAAAACCGGTTGGGAGAATTTAGTTTTAGAGGGTGTCACACAGTGATGCCTTCAAAGAAACCGATAAATATCTTTGTGGTTTGGTAATTTTTTCAGGACTTATTGCATATTAGAGGGTTAGTACAGAAGAAGAAAAATAAAGAGTAACATTTCATACAAAAATTACGCAGTTTTTTCATCAACCTTCAACAATGTTTCCTAATCACTTTAAGGAAACAGAAAGAAAAAAGAAGCACACTGTTCAAAGTTTCTATAAAAGGGATTAGAATGGCATTTGCTCAGTGTTAAAGTGATTAATGCTTTGGACACGGCCCTATCAGCCCAAATAGGCAGATCCTCTTCATATTTCTACCTGTTGCTTTCTTTCAGGTGTTGATCCAATACCGGGATATGCATGGCTTGGAACCCATCCCGTCGTGCGACATGTGCGGCTTGGGGATAGGCAAGAAACTGAAGCGTTGCGCCAGGTGCACCGGACTCTACTGTTCCAGGGACTGTCAGCTTAAAGCATGGGAGAAATTCCACAAGATTAACTGTCAAGATTTCGTCAAAACCAGGATTGACGGCTCCGACAGCGATTAGTTAGTGAATCGAGTGTTGTGCTTCGTGTAAGAGACTGCTTTGAGAATTGGAAGCTTTGAGTAGGGGATGTATTCTACGAGAGAAGTCATAAGAGATTGTTCAAAACAAATCCTGAAAATGAGCCATTCATGACGACTTCCCGTTATGGCATTAAGCAAAGTAGGGGGGACTTAAATACTTCTAGGGACACCGAGCTTCACTTGTAGGATAAAGACAAGCTGTTCAGAGTTAAAGCCAACCATCTTTGGTAGCTCTGGTACCAAGTCTAGGACAAAGTGGATGGAACTGCAATGCTCAACGGCATCTCAAGTCTCGACTATAAACAGGATAGGCCTCACAAAGTCGGATCTCAACTTCATTTAAACAAAATTTGACGACTCTAAAAAGGGATTAGTACACGAGTCAATTGTTTGCTTCATGTGAGGGGAATGTTTCAAGGACCAGGAGCTTTAAGTGTGGGAGAATTCTACAAGGGAAGCTGTCAGGAATTGATCCACAACAAGTTGTGAGAACCAGCAGTTCATAAGAAGTAGCATTAAGCCAAGTAGGCAGGACTATAATGATATATCGTGATAATGAGTTTCAAGTATAGGATAAAGACAAACTTCAGAGTCGACCCCAACCATGTTTGGTAGCTACAATAACAAGTCTTCAGAACGTTGAGACTTGTGCAAAGCAGGCAGAACTTTGATTGCCGAGACGTATGTCTATTGAAAGCAGGGGATAGTCAACCATTTTCATTTGTGGAAGGAATTGCTTCAAGGACCTGGAGCTTGTGGGAGAAATACTACAAGAATCTATAAGGAATTCATTCAAAACAAGCGTCAAGAATTTACATTTCATAAACCACAATAGCATTAAGCCAAGTGGGCAGGACCATGATGCTCTAGGGACCGCGAGCTTCAAGATGAACTGTTGTGTTAACCCCAACAATGTTTGATACATGCAGCTCTGATAACGACAAGTCTTCAGGAAATCAAAAATATTACCAAGTAGGCAGAACTACAGACCTCTAAAGGCATATCAACTAAAAGCAGGGAATATTCTTCAAAAGACCAGGGCCCGTCTTACAAAGATTTGATATTAATCTCAACTTATTTGTGATTGATATCAATCACAACTATGTACATATAAGAGATAGGAGACTCCAAACTTGCGATTGATTTGAATCAATCGTAACTCTATGTAAGACAGGGCCCAGTTGTTAAGATTGTTGTGAAAACTTCTGCCTTGCCAACTGCACATCGTTCAACTTTGTCAAGTAATGTCGCCTCGGAGCTAGGGATGAATCTTACCATTGAGAGGTGACTTCAACCAAGATATTCATTAGAATTTCTGTTTGCTTTATTTATTTAAGTATTTCTTTTCTTTTCCTCTGACTACTTAATTTATAGTACAGTCAAACCTGCTTTAGTGACCACCTGTCTTTGAAGACCACTCTTTTTGTTTCCCGGCTTGAAAATGGTTTCTCATTGAAACATGTACCAAAGGAACCTGTCTACAAAGACCACATTTTTTGTTTCCCTTGAAAATGGTTTCTCATTGAAATATGTACTAAAGGAACCTGTCTTCAAAGACCATTTTTTTGTGTTTCTCTTGGGGGGGGGGGGGGGGGGTTGCTATAGACAGGTTTGACTGTACCAAGTGCATAATAGTTTACTGTATTCAGAACTTTACATTGTGTAGTTATGCATATCATCTCACTCCAGGGACTGAGTGGAAAGCAGTTCATTAGAATCAAAGTTGAGAGATCTGTTGCAGTCATGAAAAAATTACTTCAATTTGGTTGTGCAAAGTATGTTTTGGATTGCCTAGTGTACGTGCAGTCACCAGCATCAGAAAGTCATTGTAAGCTGTTGGAATATATGCTCGATTCCACACAATTCATATCGCTGTAATAAGATGAAGAGATGGTCAAAATACTCTACAGCGCATGTGGCTTTCAAGTCGAAGAGAAACTTCCAGGAGTTTATCTGAACTGACTCTAAAATCTACCTACAGTGTGTTGGAATTGAAAATTACTTTGATGAGCTACAGGAGATATTTTCTACTGCTTCAGGAAAGATGAGCTTCTAGGAGTTTATCTGAACTGACTCTAAAACATACAACTATGTGTTGGAATTTAAATTTACTTTGATGAGCCAAGGAGATATTTTTTACTGCTTCAGGAAAGGTTACTTTCCAGGAGTTTATCTGAACTGACTCTAAAACCTACAACTATGTGTTGGAATTGAAATTTATTTTGTTGAGCCAAGGAGATATTTTTTACTGCTTCAGGAAAGGTTACTTTCCAGGAGTTTATCTGAACTGACCCTAAAACCTACAACAATGTGTTGGAATTTAAATTTACTTTGGTGAGCCAAGGAGATATTTTCTACTGCTTCAGGAAAAAGTTGACTTAGAGGACCTTATCTGAACTGAATCTATAACATGTAACAATGTGTTGGAGTCCAATTTATTTTGTTGAGCCAAGGAGATATTTTCTACTGCTTCAGGAAAGGTTTAATAGCTTTCTGGAGTTTATCTGAACTGACTCTTAAACCTACAACAATGTGTTGGAATTGAAATTTATTTTGTTGAGCCAAGGAGATATTTTCTACTGCTTCGGAAAAGGTGAGCTTCCAGGAGTTTATCTGAACTGACCCTAAAACCTACAACTATGTGTTGGAATTTGAATTTATTTTGTTGAGCCAAGGAACAATTTTTGCCGGCTTCGGGAGAGGTTAGTATCAAATGAAGAATACAAAATCTGTGAATTCAACTCTTCGGAGTTCTTCAAGGTTTAACAGCTTTCCCAGCCATACACCATATACATACTACATAGTACATGTACTACCACAGAGATGTAACCAAGCCAGAATAAGACAATGATATGTGGGGCTTGTAGTGCAGTGACGGTTATAAACAAGTGATGATTTAATATGCAGAATGAGCTTGCTACACACTGTAGTTACTATCTGTAGAGCTACTGTTACATAGGAAACATGTTTGTTTGTATTTGATATTTATAGAGGGAGAATCATGTGCAGACATTGGATAGTGCTTTCTTTCTAAATACCTTCACAACATACATGACTGTATACCGGTAAAAACATGTAGTTATTCATTCATTATTTGTATTTGGGTATTTTCCAATGAATTTCGAAACGTTTGGATGTTATTTGCTTCTTTTTGCCATAGAAGATCACTTACTTTTAAGTGGAACTTATTCTATGTCTTTGAAAAATATAACTTTTTTTGTTGTCTTAGTTTTAGTTATGAAGTTTAGGCATTTCCATATGACTTATCACATGTAAATCTTTTCTAGTGAATAGTGTTTTTGATAGATACACCACCTTTATTTTGGTCTGTTCCATGCTACAAGTTGTTTCTTTAAAGTAGTCATCCGAAGAATCAAAACTGTTTTGAATCAATGCAAAATTCATATCATTGCGTAGGGGAAGCCAAATATAACAACTTCAAAATATGTTCAGGGCCTGCAGTAATCATCTCTCGAAAATGTTAATTTTGAGATCCAGATTTTCTGCCTTCAGTGGTCCTCCGTAGAGCATCAAGATTTGTGACGTCACACGTGAGACACTGCAAGCCACAAAGCATTTTACGCCTTTCCATGAAATCTACATGATTTTTCAGCAAATTTTTCGTCTTTTTCAAGAGAAAATCTTTCCATCCATATATAATTTGTCCATAATTATTAATTGTCTTGAATTTTCTTTGGGTGACTACTTTAAACCTGTTATTGTAAATGATTGGTCATTAATTATTGTCATTATGTTCTGTTTTATTAGAAATTGAGTTTGAACCTGTTTGTAACTTGTTTAGTGTGTTTACATCTATAGGACATGTCTTGGGATGTATTATACTTTTTTTTTCTTTCTTTGAGACGAATCGATACAAATCAAGGATTATTTTTGTTAAGTTTGTGTACATACTTTCAGTTGATCAATGCATATTTTAATATACATGTTGTTTTTTTCCTTCACCATTTATGCTTATTTTCCCTTTGCAGAATATTTGACTTTCATTTCATAATAATACAAAATGAATCTCTACTGCTCCAAATTGAAATAGAATGTACATTATAGCACCAACCTAAAGAAAACTTCACCATGCAATGTATAGGCTACTGGTAAAGGTATGAAGAAAAGAAAGAATAACATAAAACTCTGTTAAGGTACTTCTGTTATTCAAGTGTACATCCTTTTGTAATGTACCAGATGTTTGCATACATTTTCAATAGTTATGACTTACCATGACTCCCTCTTATTTAAACTTTCTTGTGTATAGCAATATAGATAATCCTTAGCAAGTAGTAGTAGTTCAGGTTTGCCAAAGTTTCATGCCGTGAAGTAATAGGCCATTTTCGTAATTTATCCAAATTTAATGCATAGGTCTCTGTGAAGTGCCTCGATACGATTGATTCCATTCACCTGTCTGTACTGTTACAAATAATTGTCTCAATAGTAAGAATTCCAATTGTGTACATTTAATTAGTTGTTGCTAGGTAGGACAAACATGGCTTGCCTTACCTACACTATGAATATGAAGGACAAAGAAAGCGGACAAAATATACAGTTCCTCAGGTAGACAAAGGAACATCCCTTCACTGCTATTATGTAAAAAGTGAATATGCATGTGACACCTGTTCTACACATTTTTACATAATAGCAGTGAAGGGATGTTCCTTTGTCTACCTGAGGAACTGTATATTTTGTCCACTTTCTTTGTCAGTCATATTCATAGTGCTAACAGCATGTAATATATGCAATATGCATTCTGACTATTAAAATACAAATATTCATGACAAGCGAATTTTGTAGTGAGGCACTTGACACTCTATGAACATGACTGACAAAGAAAGCGGACAAAATATACAGTTCCTCAGGTAGACAAAGGAACATCCCTTCACTGCTATTATGTAAAATGGTGTAGAACAGGTGTCACATGCATATTCACCTTTTTACATAATAGCAGTGAAGGGATGTTCCTTTGTCTACCTGAGGAACTGTATATTTTGTCCGCTTTCTTTGTCCTCCATATTCATAGTGTGACGAAGACATATGCAAAAAATTTGGTAACATTACGAAAATGGCCTTATGAAATCACAACTGATTCAACACTGAAATTTGAGATGCAGCAAAAGTTTCTTGTTGAGGAAATGGCGAAAGTTTCTGCTTTTACTATGAGTCAGTCATGTGAGTGATAGATAGAGATAGGAAAGTCCGCCTGTGTGGAGGGTTTTTTTTTTAAATTTTTTTTTAAAATTCTGACATTGAGTCAGTCTGCAGTCATGTGAGTGTTACAGATGGAGAAGGAAAAGTCCGCCTGCGTGAAGGAGTCTTTTGTTTCTTTTTTTCTTCTGCAAAGTTTAACATTCTCCTCTCCTCCAAGACAGGAGAGGGGTTTGTTGAAGCCAGACTTATAGTCTCAGCTGAACATATTCCTGGACAAAATACATGTAGACTATTTTTTTGTCTGATGAAGGATGTTTAAATACAAGACAGGAATTCTCAGCAGATTGTTCCTTTTTTTTTTATACTGGAAGGCTAACTCTATACATGTAAATGTATAAGTGATTATGAAGATATTACATTATGTTCAAAACTATTCATATGGCAATTTCTTTCAAATGTAGTTGTGTTCAGGTCGAAAGATGTGTCTTGGCCTTGATGTAACAACGTACCCAATATTTTGTCCAGTCTGCTGTTAAAGAGAAGGTTGAGATCTGGGAAGAGGTAAAAAATAATTTGTGAGTGTTATCATTGTATAATATGCAAGTGTGGAATAACA